CTTTGTTTTTTATTTCTAAAGAAAGTTTATTCATCTCAGCACAGTCTAATATCTTACATACAATCATTGCATTTGTTGGTGTGTTCTCCCTTTTCCAACACTGTGCATATGCAATGCGTGCTGCAGTTATAATATGCATAATGATGTATTGGAGTTGTTTCTCAATTTTTGGGTTAATTATGCCTAATAAAAATATTTCCGGTTTAAGTTCAATTTCTTGTTTTGTTATTTCCTGTAACCATCTTCTTATCTGCTCCCAATAAGTCTTTGCTTTGGGGCATTGCCACCACATATGATAAAATGTTCCTTCTTTATTTTTACATTTCCAACAATCCGGATTCATATTTTTGTATATTTTAGCCAATCTCACCGGTGCTAAATGGCATCTGAACAACATTTTGTATTGGTTTTCCTTGTATGCAGTTGACAACGTTAATTTGTAATTTATGTTCCATGTTCTTTCCCATTCCTCTAATTCTATATTTTGGGCCCATGCTATCATCGGGCCCTTTACTATTTCTACCTCCAATTCAATTTCTAATAGGAGTTTATAGGTTTTTGTTAAGAATTTTTCTCCCTTATTTATCAATATTTTATCCAATTGTTGTAATGTCCGATATACTGTATCCCATACTCCTCTATATCCTTATTATATTTTGATTTTATCTGTGTATATGGCCACCAGTCAATAGTTATTCCCTGTTCTTTTAATTCATCTCTTGGTTGTCTAATAATTCTTTGTACCTTATCATCTTTGTTTTATCTAACATGTTTGTCTTCTTAAAAACTTCCAGTGTTGGAGCATTCACAGCTTCTGGAGGCAGGTTGTTCCACTGGTTAATTGTTCTAACTGTCAGGAAGTATCTCCTTAATTCTAGGTTGCTTCTCTCCTTGATTAGTTTCCATCCCTTGCTTCTTGTCCTGCCCTCAGGCACTTTGGAGAATAGCTTGACTCCCTCTTCTTTGTGGCAGCCCCTGAAATATTGGAACACTGCTATCATGTCACCCTTCGTCCTTCTCTTCATTAAACTAGACATACCCAATTCCAGCAAACATTCTGTGTTTTAGCCTCCAGTCTCCTGATCATCTTTGTTGCTCTTCTCTGTACTCTTTCTAGAGTCTCAACATCTTTTTTACAGTGTGGTGACCAAAACTGGATGCAATATTCCAAGTGTGGCCTTACCAAGGCATTGTAAAGTGGCATTAATACTTCACGTGATCTTGATTCTATCCCTCTGTTAATGCAGCCTAGCACGGTGTTGGCTTTTTTTGGCAGCTGCAGCACACTGCTGGCTCATATCTAAGTGATTGTCCAATAGGACTCCAAGATCCCTCTTACAGTTACTACTACTGAGCAAGGTACCCCCTTTACTATACCTGTACATTTGGTTTTTCTTGCCTAAATGTAGAACCTTACTTTTTTCACCATTAAATTTCATTTTGTTAGATAGAGCCTAATTCAGGCTGAGGTCTAATCTGGGACTTGGTTCATCTTTCCTCACCACATTTTCCTCTTCTTTGTTAAGATATTTAATTTAATAGCTGGAGCAGTGAAGGGTTGGACAATGAGTCAGAACACACAGTTATAGCTGATTGGTTGAAGAGGGCTGGCCACTGAATGAGGCAATCTAAGCTGTGATTGGTTGCCTTGAGTGAAAAGGGGGAGGTTCCTTGTTTCCCGCCCTTTTTCCTTTGAGTGCCCTCTGTAATTTACCTCATGATGTGTTGATTTACCTGATATGCTCCTGATTGCCTGATTATCTTATTTACTATTAATATATTTATTTATATAAAACTATGTTTGTGTCAACATCTCTGCCTCCATTTGGACACTGGCTGTGCAATTCCCTGACATTTTTCCCTGCAGTCCCTGATCGCAGAGGAGCTGAGGACAGGGACACACAGACACACAGCATTTCATGAGGGCCTGGCAGTCTTCTGCCCACCGAAGAGGCTTGTTAGTTCGTGCCCTTTCAACACACACACACACAGACACAGACCCACACGCCCCATTCTGTCAACACAGCTGTGCCATTTACAACACCTCTGCGCCACCCTCCCCTTTTCTCCCCTTGCCCTTTGCGGTGGGCAGAAATAAAACTGAAATGAAATAGAAATGAAACAGACTGGGATTTGTTGCTTGAGTCTTTACTGAAGCTCAAAAGGTTCACATGAAGTCAGCTGTCACTATTCTAGAAGCTCAGCAACTGGGGACCACCTGCTGCTAAAGCAAAGAGGGAGCAAGGAAAGAGGATACAGGAAGAGACGAGATGGAAGTGTCAACAAGGAGAGGTCCCTGACTTCCGGTTCTGGTACACGGCGACGCCGGTCGGGTCTGGGGACTTTTTCCCCCATCAATTTTATTTGCTCTCCCACGTTCATATTTAGTTTGCCATGTTTGTCTTTCAGCTCTTAATTTTAAAACCAGCTAATAACCAACAGAAAAATATTAATTTTTCCTTTAACATTTTTGTTCCTTAGAAAAAGGTTTTTCAAAATTACTACAAAATTATCAGCAAATGCCCATTTCCCCAGGCTTCTGTCTGCTGTGCTGTAGGATATTTATTGCATGTTTTTATTTATTTCCTGGGAGGTAAATACACATTCAAGAGGAAAATGGGATCTCCTTGTCATTTTAGGTGCAATGGAATAACAAGGCAATTTCCATCACCTCATATTATCTGAGGCGTCTAAACTGAGTTTCCTTCTTCTCTTCTGGACCCCAAAATCTTAATATCCAAAATGAAAAGTAAAAAAATCAGAAATAAAATTTTGGTTTCTGCTGAAGCATTTGTGGAATCTCTCCTGTGCAGACGCTTTAGTGTACAAAAAGCACAAGAAACTGGGACAAAAAATTGCCATGCTGGTTTCGTCATTGTGAAGGTTTCCCCACACCAAAACACTGTAGGATTTCTCTTCTGGGACTGTGTGAAGTTCCTGGTGAATTATAAGATGTGACGTTTCAAAAAATGTTTTCCACATTCCTCACAACTGAAGGGGTTTCTCTCTACTATGGACTTTCTGATGCCTTTTTAGCTGAGATTTACAATGAAAAGTTTTCTCACACTCTGCACACTTGTAAGGCGACTCCCCTGTGTGACTTCTGGTGTGTATGCGAAGTGATGAAGGGTGGGCAAAACATTTCCCACACTCCAGGCATTTATATGGTTTCTCTCCAGTGTGGATTCTCTGATGTATCACAAGAGTACCTTTCCGAGAAAAACATTTATCGCACTCCGAACATTTATGGGACTTCTCTCCTGTATGGATTCGGCTGTGGTTTCTAAGGGAATATGAATGAGGAAATGCACTCCCACAGTCTAAACATTTGTAATTTCTTTCCCCTGTATGAGTTTTTACATGACTTCTAAGGTGTGATATGGAAGAATAAAATTGTCCACATTCGAAGCATTGATATGGCTTCTCCCCTGTGTGGATTTTATGATGTGTCCAAAGATTCCCCTGTTGAGCAAAACATTTCCCACATTCTACGCATCTGTACGGCTTCTCTCCTGTGTGGAGCCTCTCATGCCTTCCAAGGTTTTGTTTTACGGAAAAGCATTTCCCACACTCCCCACATTTGTATGGTTTTTCCCCCGTGTGGATTCTCTCATGAAGCTGAAGCTCTGTTTGTGTAAGGAAACCTTTTCCACATTTCCCACATTCATAGGGTTTCTCCCCTTTGTGCCCCTTCTGGTGTTTCTGAAGCGCAGAAGAACACATAAATCTTCTCTCACATTCTGGACATTCATAGGGTCTCTCTCCAGTGTGATGTCTCTGATGTCGCACCAGGTTTGATTTCAAGGTAAAACATTTCCCACATTCGAGGCACTTTTCATTTTTCTCCCCTCTGTGTGTTTTCTCATGGGTCCGAAGACCTGAACTCCGGGTGAAACATTTCCCACACTCAAAGCATTTGTAAGATTTTACTCCTGCATGAATCTTCTCATGGAGCCGAAGACTTCCCGTGTGAGAAAAGCTCTTCCCACATTCCCAACACTTGTAAGGTTTCTCCCCTGTGTGAATTCTCTCATGGTTTCCCAGATGGGCTTTTTGACGGAAAAAATTCCCACATTCCAGACATTGATAAGGTTTC